GATATTACTCTCTACTGTTTATATAGTTCGGTGCAGTATTGATTACGTAAAAGCTGGTTTACAGGCCACAGGAAGCTGAACGAATCTTCATAACAGCCACAGTTCTACATCCAACACTCTTTAAACTATCTCCCAGCACCATAACTCTCCATTACCAAGAACCTGTTCTTATACTTGAAGTGAACCTGAAATCAGGGTTCACCATTTTACCTTGTCAACGCACAATTCGTCATATCAAATAATTTAAAAGACAGTTCTTATCATTTCCCATAATCTTCTATTAAACTATAATGACATTCGTTGGCCTCTAAAACGCCACCATGCACCAGCGGGGTTGGGGGGGGATAATATTAACTTATAATATCATGTTTCACCTCCCCCTCCCACCACCCCTACCTATCATCAAAACACTCAGCTAGCTCAGAAACCCTTCCTGATACCGTGCTTCATTCTGAAAAACATCACAGTACGTAGGGAGTATGTGTTACAATTTCCAGTGTAATTAAATCTAAATCAATTAAAAAAATAAATAAATGGAAAATGATGAGTGTGTAGAAGTATGTTCTCTGGAGAGGACTGTTATTTTCACTTACAAGCTGCTGTCCAATAGCAAAAGCATCTAAAATTGTCTGTGAAAAATAATGAAAAACTTTCTTTCCTTTTAGAGACTTTGCACAGGCCAGTATTATACATTCAGAGTCAGATTACATTTTCTCACATTAACTTACAGCACTGTGCAATACAAAAATCAGACACCCTTCATTTATTTCATTTCCAGTCAAAATGGCCATTAAGTACAAGTTATTCATTTTTTAGCATCAAGATTAAAGAGAAACTTATATTTAGCAGAAAATTACACAGAAGCATCAACAACTAAATATAGTACAATCATTTTCAGTGTGTCTTTATTACAGCTTCCATTCTTTTCATGAGACAGTTTTCTGAGAAATCTGCTTGTACTTAATGACTGTTTTGACTGGAAATTAAATAAATGAAGGTCAGCCTCTGAATTTTACACTATACTTAACATTAAAGCAAAATACTGTCTTTTGTTTCTTTGTGCTGAATGTAAACTAGCAGAGTATAAAACTGTTAAAAGAAAAAAACAAATTAAAGATGTGAGCTTTGGGCCAAACAATCTGCCTTCGCTCCCAATCATAGGTTAAAGTTGTGTGTGTGTGGGATAATGAAAAACTGTGTTTATGAACATGCCCTTTAGGAGACAAGGACTTTCCATACGTCCATTTAGTTTCAGTAGCACATACGTCCATGCCTAATAGCACTTTGGCTTGTTAGCGGCTCTTTATACATCAGCACACACCATAAAGATTTAACAGGGAGTGGTGAACAGCGTCTTTGATCCAGTTTACAGCCCAGCGCTTACACATGCACTCATAATAAAACAGTAATGAGGGAGAGACGTTTCATGCAGGAAGAGCAAACTCACTGTCAATGCACATGTTCTTAATAAACCAACTCCACCAGTTTCTTCTGGAAAGCTTCATGAATTTCAAATGTAGTGGCAGAGATCCATTACTCCATAAAGAGTCACTTGGATAAGACAGACGCCTGGAATGTTAATCCTTTTCACTCTGAATTAGAAGTGGATTACTGAATTTGACAGAGTTGGTGAGTTTGTTTAAACGCATGTTTACAGCTAAAGCTCACATGCTCATTAACCTTAGGGGCCAGACACGGATTGAGTCCATCTTAGACTAAGAGGGATTTTCAGTGTAGAATCCCCGTCCCCTGAGTTAATTATGTCCATGTGACATAATCATGGGTCAGGGTGAAGAGTCACACCTATATAAAATATATTTTAGATAAACTATATAAAACACACACACAAAAGATTGAACAGAGAAATGTTTTGTTGATTTTCTAAATGGAAGTAAGTTTAATGTATTGGAAAAAATAAAGTATAAAATATAAAATGTGACATAACTTTTGCACAGACCACACTTTATGTTAAACTCATCAAATAAACAGTAATTGTGCATTAAAATGTGCAAAACTGTGTTCTCTGTAGAGGATGTGTTAACTTATTGTCACTTAAAAATTGACAAAACAAGTAATTTGACAAGGGGTTTTAAACTTAAAGTATCTACTACTTTGACAACATTTGATAGTACTATATTATACATTTAAAAAAATCTGTAATATTTCTATCTCTGTATAATATTCATGCTGTGAATGTCTTTATTAATAATGCTTGGGTAGGAAACTATAATAATTCTAATACAATAGGACTCTGCTATAAAGCCTGTTGAAGTTCTTGTAGTATATGTCTTTTTCACAAGGGAATATTTTAATATAAATATTTACAAATACTTAAGAAAAGAGTACAGAGATACACTGTGATCAAATTTGTGCCTTCATTAAAATCAGAACTCATTTTGACCCAATCATGTCCAACATCTACATGTACTACTGATAAAAATGCCACAGAACTTGTTCTGATTGGTCTACAGTGATGCAAGTTTGTGTAGTTATACCTTGGATAAACATCTAACATTTTCAATTATTACTACCTATAATTTCAATACTTTATTCCTGTAGTCTATTCAATTGACTACTAATTTTAGGACATTTTCTAGAGCTTGGGTAAAAACGATTAAAGACCCAGTTTAGTAGGACAAGAAAAACTCACTTTTTAGCCATATGGTTTCATCAGTTATGAGAGAACATATCGCTGCCATCAGAACAAAACCTTGTATCTCCGTTTTTATCAGTTTTCACTTTTTTGACCTAAGTTTAAAGTATGCATTGCCCTTTACATTGTGTGTAAATTTCATGATGGACCTGAAGAATTGCCCAAAAATCTGGTTCCACTGACTTACATTAAAAGTTTAGCTTTTAAAAGTTAAGTTTTTCCTCCTGTCAAGTTATTATTTTGGAGATACGAGGTTTTGTTCAGACAGCAGCGATAAGGACCCAAGATAACGATAACTGACAACATTTCAGATAGGGACATTAATGGGTTAAAATACATTTCAGTTAACTCGACTGAGATTTAAATTGCCAAAAAGGAAATAAATGGAGCCCAATTAAACCTAGACTGCATGAAAAATAACAATAAAAAGTACCAGAAAATTAATCCAAATATGTATTTGCTGCATATTTGGGAACTAAGCATCTCTAGATGTTCACATGTATCTCCAGTATGTGAAACTAAACACTGCTCAGTAAACATCAGGATGCTGACCTCACTGAAAGCTTCTGCAGTAGGTGCAGGCTGTCACGTCTGCGTCCAAAAGCACCCAGAGGGTGATTTATAGTGGGAAGATGTGATGTATACTTTACATATACAAAGGAAACGTAGTATCCTGTTCCACTGCTGGCCCCTCATCTCATGGTCAGACGCAGCAGTCGCCTTTTGGGGGTCTGTCGAGTCATTACACTACAGCAGCAGTGCTTTGATTTCAGGGAGCTGATATATGAGGTGACTCTCCGCCTGTAAAACATGAGTCAAACCCTGCACTGATTGGGAAGGTGGAGGTGGGCCGTGCAACATGGATCCACTACAAAAGTGGCCACCTAAAAACATGAAAAGACTCAATTAAAGTAGAATTAACCCTTCAAAACTAGCAAGTTACACATATACATGTACAGATTGTATGGAGTGAAACAATACAAAAGTATTTCCAACTTTGTTTATAAATATAAATTCATAACAATAAATATATCTTCCGTCAGGATTTCTTCAGGAATGTACCATCAAACTTAGTATGAAGAATAAAAACACCCTACAATGATGTTTTTGTGAAGCTCATCTCACGTTCCATGTTATGAATGAAGCAACTACACTGTTAGAAATAAAGGTTCTGTGCAGGTACATTTTTGTTCATCAAGGTACAAACAATGTAATTGTACCTTTAAAGGTACAACAGTGGTTTTAATAAATAAATAGGAATAAAAAGTATAATTTCAATGGATTATGGTGCAATTATGTTCCCTGACTAAAGGTACTGAGATGTCCCCCTCAGAGAACCACCCCAGTGACAGACCTTTATTTCTGAGAATGTACAATTGAATAAAATTAAGCAAGTGAAAAGTATGTATAGACATATCCTCATGATCAGAATAGAAAACTATAATAAATACTGGCCGTAGGATTAATATATATGTTAAAGGGGCACTCTGGCCAAAACTGAAAATCGAACCATTATTTGTTTTCAACATGCCTTTTTGCTTCCTACAGTGGTACTGCAGTAGTCTCTGCAGCAAGATTGTCAGTTTATAGACAAGAAAAAGGGGCCCTTTCTGATGACGTATCTTGAAGGTGGGAGGAACTTACGAAAAACTTCAACGGCTTTAGGAGGATATTTTTTTCTGCGAGCTGGCTAATGCCAGATAAACCAGACAGCTACTCTGTGAGGAAGCTCAATTTCATGCCTGTATTTATTAGCCTCTACATCAGTGGCTATGCTAGCCATCAGGATTATTGCCTTAGAGGACTTCCCAGTGGTTGTATGATGAATTTGCATAACGTATGCTGGGTTTTTGTAGGAAACAAAATTGTGCATGCATGCTGTGCTACAGAATATAAGCTACATAACTTTAAAAGTAACATGTGAAATGCTAGTTTTTGGCCAAAGTGTTCATTTAAAGGAATGGTTTGCCAAAATCAAGTATACACAATTCTCTATTTACCCCTGACGTAGCCAACTAGCCAAGACATGTTTGGTATCCAATTTTTGCTCCTTTAGTTCAGCACTATGGAACTATGAGGCTAATGTTGCTAACAAACAGATACATTCCCAAATGTCTCTCAAACTGCATTCAGGTCTTCATTAATTAATGTAGTTTTGTTCACAGTATGACTTCTTACTAAACCTCACCATTTCTTTTAAGTAAAAGTCAGTTTCCCCAGCTGCACCTGCCCTGCCGCAGCAGGATGAGGACGAGCACGCCTACGTCATCATTATAAGCGCTCTTATTGGTTTGGGGTTTGCGAAGTCGAGCGCCGTGACTCCGCCCCCTCCGCCACCGTTGCCTTGGGAGCAAGACGAGCCAACAGAGCCGAGAGCGCTGAGAGGGGCGAGCGGAGCTGTAAGGGAATGAGACACGCTGAGGGGGAAACAGGGGAAATTGTGGGTGAGGCAGAAGACGGCGTCGCGTTTCTGCCTCGGGTGGTGTTAAAGATTGTGTTCTAAGGAGAAAACGCGGGGAAGCAATGTCTCAGCAGCAGCGGGTGGTGCAGCTGTCAGCGGCGTCGCTGGCTGTGGTGTTGTGGAGGGAGGAGGACAGCTCGGCAGCCGCCGGCGGAGGAGCCAGTGCGACCTGTACGAACGGACAAGAGGTTTTCATGGATTTTAAGTCCCAAAATCTGCGCAGCTTCTGGAATAAAAGACTCGTAAAGGCAGTGGCTGAAGTTTACTTCCAGGGATGGATGGAGAATTCCGTGCTGCTCGTTCAAGGGAACGGCAGTAATTTGGAGGTGTTGAGGGAGGCGTGGATGCGTAGGGCGCTGAGGTCTCCGAGGGGATTCACCATCAAGGCAGTGGGTAGGTTCTCATCAGTGTCTCATTTTGTTTTATGTGGTGCTGAACCCCAAACATGCCAGGCCTTCAGACTGCAGGAGGCGAGTTTAGCTGCGAAGCTGTGGATGAGAGCAAAGTCTGCATTAAGGCTGTGGATTGAGTCCCGTGGGAAGGAAGGGTTGTTTACATTGCACTTTGAGTTGTCATAAAACTCTAAAGGCCTGGAAAACTCTCAGTAGGTCAGTAGGTTTTATGTCTTTCTAGAGCCTCTGAGGCTTTGAATGTTACATCAGTGTCAGAATTGTAAACTGTGGTCACAGAGCAGCTGTTGGGTGTTATTAAACTACTACTACTGCAAAGCTAGCACCCCAAAGAACAGCTCCTTTTCCTCTGCAAAAGCAGAATAATGTGTTTACATCTAATCTCCACCCTATTTGACAGCCAGTAGTGATCATACTGTACTTGGTGGGCTTGGGAGCGGCCCATGGGAGCCACTTTGCATATACTTTGAATAGCTATGCATTGTATGCTTCTATTATATGGACTCTTGTATAACTAATCTCTATCAAAACTTCCCAAAGTGCTATACTTCTGGTTTCTAGTCTCAGCAAAGTTGTATTAGTAAAGCTGGCCTCATGAACCCCACCTGACCAGCAGTTCTCGGAGATATCTCAACATGCTTGAGGCATAAAAGTGTGTGCAGCATTACTGTATTATTTCCAGATGACAGGAAATATAATTTCAGCGGAGAGCGGCCTTTAACCTCAGCACACCGACAACACCCCTGCACTGCCTGCAGCATGAGCTCACCTTATATAAATTACACTCAGAATCTCAGCATTCTAAGCACGTTTACCAGTACGGATTCCCTGCCTGGGACTTCACTGTATAAAGGCAGGAGTTGTTTTCGTTGCACACATGTTGAGGTGGCAGGTCTGTGGCCCCCTCACACATGATTGCCGCTGCTGGGTGGCTGCTGGTTCACCTACACAAAGCCATCACCGCTGTGTGAGATCAGCCATTTGCTCCTGCCGTCAGGGCCTTGGAAGGTGGAGGTCAGTGTGTGTGTAGAGGGGGAGCACAAAGCTGAGGAATTTGAGGGGCAAGACCACACAGTGGGAATGGATCTGTCGGTGGGAGACTCATTTAGGTAAGACTGAGACCTCTTGGAAAGTTCAGATGCATAAACACATGTATTTTCTATTAAGTTCAGGTCAGATGTGTGGCCATTGTCATGCTGGGGTGTGAGCTCAGCCCTAGTGTCACTGTAATTTACTACCCCTTCACCATATTGCATAGTGCAGAGTTATCTCCTGTCCAGTGGCTGCTCCACAAGGCCACTTTATAGCTCTTGGTCATGGACACTGATGCCCTCTCACTGCACAGCAGAAAGCTGCAGTTGCTTTTCTTGCACCCTGAAAGAGACTAGACATTTTGTGTGGTCAAATTCAGAGCCGCTACTGTTCATGAAGGATATAAATAGTTCTGAACTGGAGCATGCAAATTTGCATCAGATTTGCATTTTGTGCTATCTGATCTGTTGTTGATACACTAAAAAAAAGTGATGCACTTAGAGATTGCACGATACCGCTTTTTTGTTATATTGATACTGTTAAGTATTACTCATAAGTCTTTCTGTAAAGCCTTTAAATAGTCATTTAAAAGTCAGAGGTCTCGGGTCGGCCTCAAGTGCAAAATCAACAGTATTCTGATGAAGATATGATGACAGTAGTAGATAATGCACTTACATCATCAGAAGACACACCTCTCACCAAGTTTTGAGTTTCCTTTAAATACTCTTTCAACATACTCGCAATCCAGGGTTCAAAGCACAATCAACATTAAAGAATGTTTTTCTGCATGTCGCGTGCAATAACACATTTCCACCAGAGAGGTCTCCAAATCCCCATATCTTACAGAGCATAGCTTTAACATGAGCATCTGGAAGTAGGCTATCATGTTCTAACTGCCTAAACATTCACTTCCTCACAGAAAGTAATATAAAGCTAATAATATCACATCACACAATGTGAGTGTGAATATTTCAGGCTAGATTTGTTATTGGATTGGATTCATTCTTTTTTCTCTCCAATATCCGATCCAGCATTTTTTGCTGATATCGATTCAATGCCAATACATATCAGTAACAACATGCCGTTTCTACCGCAAGCAATTATGTGCTATTTTAGGCTCGAAATGTTACACGATTAGATCAGATTCATTCTTTTTTTCCTCACTGATATCCGATCCAGCATTTTCTGCTGATATGTGCGTGATACTGATCCCCAGTATCAGATTGGTGCTGTTTCTAGATGTGTGAATTGGTTCAAATGTGTACATAATTTCCACATTAATAAAATATAATACAAGTTATTGCCAAACATAAGGGAACGGAAAGACAAAACTGTGTTGATACAAAAACATGTATTTTATTAATGTGTAAATGATGTACACATTTTCAAATTTAAATAAATGCAATAGTTCACTTAATTGGTGTACCTACTCTTCTGTTTTTTTAAATATGTATTTTACTTTTTGAAAGGGAAACATGTCATCATAAACATTCAGTTAAGTCCAGCTTGTTCCAGGCCTGTGTTTAGTCAGCAGGAGCTGGTTAGTGCCGGCCTGTGATTACCCATCAGCAGATGTGATGATGAATTGGTCCACCTCCCCTTATTCTGTGCTCCTGATTATCAGTGTACATTAAGTGAAAAGATGGATTGTTCTCTGGGGCCGCCGCTGTCTGACCCGGCAGGGTGAGAATGACAAGACCCTGTTATTTTTTTCAGTGGAGAAAGCCTGTTGTCTATGATCCCCAGTTTGACCTTTTTTAAGTTGAAGTTGTTTCCAGGGTCTCTTTATGCCTCTCTTCATGAATGCTTTAACTTACTCACTCCACTGAAAGCACTTGCAGCCCAGCTCCATTTACTTACATTGTTGCAAGACAGCAGCTTAGCTTGAATCTAAATTGGAGTTGGAGCAGGATCTGTGCTATTCAGCACTCATGGGATCTTAATTAAGTTTGTTTGTGAATAGTCCGTGTATTTCTAAGTGCGCAGTGTTACTCGGAACAGTGGCTCACTATTAGAAAGCTAACCAGACAAGCTTAAATGCTCTTTTTCTCTGCTGAAAGGAGTACTGTAAATAATTCCCATGGTCCACATTTAGAGTATAAAAGTGGTGGAATTCCAAAATAAGTTCTTGAGGTATACGTATAGTTACACGCTGTACATCACAGTGATGTGTTTTGACATGCTTTAATACTCTGCAGTGGAATATAGTCTTGTCAAGGCCATTTCTGTACGGTGTGCTTGTGTAGTGAAATTTGAAGCGCTACTCACAATGGTTGACTGGGGCCTCTGCATTATTGAGAGGCTCCAGATCGAGCTCAGAAGAGCCACAGGGGATCTAAAGGGTAACACATTCATGCAGAGCCATACTGAGCTGTATAGAGGTGTCCAGTACCATCAAGCACTGTTAATATGTGCTGTTTAACCCTTAAACTGCAAGAACCTGTTGATTTAATGGTAATAACTAAGGAAAAAGCCTGCAGTTTAACCTATAGAAGTTACATGGTGTCATTCAATATTTCTCACTCGTAACTCATCGAAACTAGAGGAGAATTTAAGCACAGATCGTAAACACTTCCTCTTTGTAAGTAGAAGAGGATACATTTTAGTATCATAAATTTTATAAACAGTTTTTGTTGCACATCCATTATGTTTTACTACACTGTTAATTATTGAAAGGATTTATGATATTGTGAAATCAAATCATAAGATATTTTCAATAATAATGCAGAAGACACATATCATTATGGGATATGAGAGCAACTAAGCCTTAAAGAGGTGTGAACACTTTAATAAAAACATTACTTATCTCTGTATCAGTGAAGTTAAACTATGCATACGCATATATATGTATTTGAATATTGGAATATGTATTTACACTTAAAAATACATACTTGAGATGTTCTGTGCGTATACAGTGCAAAATATAGTTTATACATATTTTAGTTGATATTTTGTTTTATTTTATCTTTTACTTTAATTTTTCTAATGAAAAATTACATATTAAAACATATCATTTTATTACAAAAAAAAACTACATACAGAAGATATATGCTTAATTACAGCTTATGTGTAGAGCCAAGTACAGCCACATCGCAGTAATCTTGCGGTCCAGGTGACTGTGAAGTCACAGTGTACAGTTGTTGTTTTATTGTTGTTTACTCTTAATATACATCAAAACAAATATTGAAACAAATTAAAAAGTTGGAAGTGCAGAGATGATGAATGTAATTAATTGGAATAAAAACTTAATTTACATTTGAATAATACAGAAAAACTAAATTTGTTCCTTATAAGAGTTAAGGGGTTAGGGATGTCATGTCTAATCTGGTTGAAGTCTGTATTTACATAATTCCTCATTTTCCCATTCTTTGGTGCAACAGAAAAGGTTTTATATTAGAGAGAGTGTTCGCAGTGTTACACACTCTGGTATCTTGTAGTAATCTCTGATTGACAGCGGTATTGGGAAATGTGGTAATGGGAGTTTGGGAGCTGTGGTTGTCTGGGAGTCAGATTGCTGGAACCCACATGACTGTTTTGTAAATGACTAGCACAGGACTGAAGGTCTGCTCATCAATGTGGGCCATGTCTCCTAAATCTCAGCATATTAGTCATGACCAGGCTCCATACCGGACTGCTGTAACCAGAGGGGAGCACCCTGTGGTGCTTATGCATTGAAGGTTGCCCTCTCATGTTAACTGGGGACCAAAGGTCACTGCTCCCTGTCCTGTCCTCAAGGAGCTCATTGCGGACCTCAGCAGATAAACACAGCGGTTCCAGGTGTGCCCCATGCACAGAGGAGGCCCAGTTCAGCCAACATGTGCTTGTAAAAGAACACAAGCCTTCTTACCCTCATTAAAGCAGAACTTGCTTTCCTTCCTGAAATTACTTAATGAGGACCAATACGAATACGTTTATGCAATTAACATGTCTGAACACAGCAAACAGTGGATT